TTCTTCTTGTGCAGGATTACTTCGGCAATAGAAGACCTTCTATGATTCCAGACAAATTCTATGATTATCTTTATCTGTAAAGAATGTCTCTGGTAATTTGATTGGAATTACATTAAATATGTAGATTAATTTGGGCAGAGGTGCCATGTTGATTATATTAATTTTTCCAATCCAGAAACATGGTATGTCCTACTATTTTGTGTCTTTTTCTATCTTTTTTAAGGTTTTCATAGTTTTTTTGGTAAAGATCTTTGACTTCCTTATTTAGGTTTATTCCTAGGTATTTTTTAAAAAGTTCTAATTTTAAAAATTAGCTATAAAAGGAAAGAACTATGGAGCTGACTCCTTAAGAAAAAACTCTTACTTGCAAAAGCTAGGAATTAACTATTGATGAGACAAAAAATTTTACAATCAATAATCTGAAATTACCAATATAAAAACACATTCTAGCACTTATAATGTGAGACATAATAGTTTTCCTCACTTTCAAATTTTTATCTACATACAAAAGTGAGGTATTTATTTCAGAGAAAAGAAAAATGTAAATAAGTACATAAAGGTCATTCTGACTGACTGTATGGATATTTTAAAAGGATTCACCAGCAGAAGCTGCATAAAATTTCATCCCCCCAAATAAATATAATAGCTTCATTTTTGCTCTCATTTTCCATACAATGATAAATGTGACTAACAGTAATGCTGCACTACACTAGATAACATGGTCCAGCCCAAGGGTGCAGGCAGCAGAGCATATTGTTTGATACCACAGTTACCTGCCCTGCCTGTGATCCTGGCTGCCAGGGAATGGGGAGGATCAGGAATGGAGACCCTGTCAAGGGGATACGTGTGTCTCTCTCTCTCTGATGAAAAAAACAACAACAAAAACAAACAAACAAACAAAAAACACACAATAAAATAAGCTTTGAAAAAATAAGATGTGTCAAATCCATGAGTTTCCTCCCTAGCTGTTAGGTCTCAAGAATAACTACTACTATTATCATCTAAATATAAGCTTAAATAAAATAGTAATATTGCCTGACTTTGATTATTATAAAACCTGATGGCTGTCACAAAATATTCAACAATTATCTGCTGATTTACTGAACTACAAGTAACATAAAACTTTATTTTTGTCAGAATAGGCAGATGACTTTAGATTTATATTTCTTTTCCCTTTTTAGAATTGCCTCTCATAGTTGAAACAACCTGGATTGTATCTGAAAGGGTGCTGATCTCCCCCCACCACTTATTTTATTTATTTACTTACTTACAGTTTTTGCCATAGGGCATGTGTGCTCAGAGAAACAGAGACAGACAGAGGGGAACTGTGAAATCAACTCCCCGGGGAGATGGCCACGGCACATCCCCTTCTCTATTCTGATACGGGGCATGTGTGCACATGTGCACACCATGATTTTCAAGTCCCAGTTCTGGGACTTGAACCATGGTCAGCCATGTAGGAGTCACTACATACCACATGCTGGACCCTGATCTCTGCTTTTAACAAAGTCAGTGACATGCCCCTAAAGTGGGGGTCAAGTGGTTAAAGAAGCTTTTCCTTCTATTGCTCAGTTCATGTAAAGCACTATGACTCAAAAAGAGATCTTTTCCTATAGGGCACATGTACTCACTGGAGAAAGAGAGACAGAGAAACAGAAAGCAAGAAATCACCCCCCAGGAGGATGGCCACGGCACAATCCCTTCTCCTCTATTCTGCTCTCATGATTTTGGGCATGAGATTTAATTTGCTGGGTCTGGGACTTGAACCGTAGTCAACTACCAAGTAGCCCAGTCAAATAACCATTATGCAATGTATTGGTTTCCCTCTTCTTTACTTTTTAATGTAATATCTACAGACATTTACTGTCTAGATTAGAACTAAGCATTTCTCCAAATATCCCTGGTTGTTTTGAGTAGAAATGTACACTATGGGCACTCAGGGTGCTTTCTGTGCTATGGGGTATCATTTATTACAGGTCACTTTAATGGACACAGGTAAGAAATGTACCTTAGTCTACTGATACTTTCAATTTAGTGTCATGCATGCAGGGTGCAATGCCTCAGTTTTAAACCTTTATCTACTTACTCCCATGTGGGAAATACTGTTTTGTTTTTTGTTTTTGTTTTTGTTTTTTTTCATGATAACAAAATAAATCTTGTTAGAAGTTCCCAAGTCCATGAGTCAGAAACAGAGGAGACAGATTGGGCTTACATTCACTCAAAGAACCTCTGGGAAACACTCACTGCAAATGATGCAGCTTGTTTACATTCTGTAAAGATCAGTCAGATATCAACAGCCATCAACTAACAAGTAAAAAATAAATGACTTTGGGACCAGCAGTTTAGTGTAATGGCTATGTCGCTGAACTCCCATGTAGCTGACTGTGGTTCGAGCTCCGGACTCGGTGGCTTAAATTCATGCCAGGTGTGTGCGTCCGTGCCCAAGATCCTGAGAGGAGAATGGAGGAGAAGGGATTGCAGCGTGGCCATCACCCCTGGGGAGTGATTTTGCACTTTCTGTCTCTCTCTGTCTTTCTGGCGAGTGCATGCGCCCTATAGCAAAAACCTCTACAAATAAATAAACAAACAAATAAATATCTTTAAAAAATTAAAATAAATGACTTCTTATAAAACTTAATAGTATTCGGTCATTGCTTTCAATTAATGACTTCCTTTTTTCTCCTTTATAGGATTATTTCATAAGTATGTTTACTTTCTCATTTTTATAAATACCTGTTGATGAGTGAACCAAACTGTATAATCCAACGTTTGCTCCCTATAGATTATTTCTTCCTGAACTATTAGGTTGCCGTAAGAGTCTTGACACATTTTTGCATAGAATAACATAGAAAACTACATCAGGGACCAGCAATTAGCATAATGGCTATGTCGCTAAACTCCCACGTAGTCGACCGTGGTTCGAGTCCCCGATCCAGTGGCTTGAACTCACACCAGGTGTGTGTGCGTGCGTGCCCAAGATCCCAAGAGGAGAATGGAGGAGAAGGGATTGCAATGTGGCCATCCCCTCTTGGGGGGGGGGTGATTTCTGGCATTCTGTCTCTCTGTCTCTCTCTGTCTTTCTGGCAAGCGCATGTGCACTATAGCAAAAACCTCTCAAAAAAAAAAAAAGAAAAGAAAAGAAAAAGAAAAATACATCATGATATTTTCCAATGGTACAATGTCATTCTGAGAAAACTCAAGCAAAAGTGCAACAGATATTTATTTGTTGAGACAGCTCTTCATGGGCTCCGTAGTCTCATATTCTCCCTGGTATCCAAGGGCAGAACACTGGACACATGTCTCTATGGCAGATGTACTTGTGAAAGAGAGTGTGTGTGTGTGTGTGTGTGTGTGTGTGTGTGTGAGAGAGAGAGAGAGAGAGAGAGAGAACTACTAGTAGTATTTTAAAAATTGTATTTTAAAAACAGAGGCCTATCAATAGCCACATTCCTAGAAAATCGATACTTTTAAGTTTGATTCAAATGGAAAACTGTCTGGAGATTATGTTACCAGTGCCTTTATGCCCCTTTCCTTTTAAGCCTCACAACTCAGATTCTAAGATTTGAGGATAAAGTGAAATTCTTTGATGATTTGCTGATTCTGTGCAAATACAACAGGGGATCCAACCACTTTTCCCACTTCCATTCCTCAATAGTTGCAGACAGATATGACACATGGGGCACCAGCTCCACAAAAAGCCAAAAAGTATCTCTCAATATTGTCTGATTAACTGTTGAGCATATGTACATTTTATACCCCAGAGTAGCTCAATCCAGCCTAATATACATATAAAACTTCAGTAAACAATGCCGGATACTCAGCATACACATAATCACATTGATAACAGCTACCAGCTTCCCAGGGCTATAGTGATTTGGACCCTCTGGTATATATGAAGAAAATGGTGAAAAATTCAAAGCTTGACCCACTGTTCTTTCTTTCTCTTTCCAGCCAAAATACCTCATAACGCAGCTATAGTAGAAATTGTGTCTACATAATGTCAAATAGGGATATTTAAAACATTTGAGGCAGATGAAAAACACTGATTCTTTTCTCAGCTGATCAGGACAGTGACTGTACAAATATCTCTGGGAATTTTCTCATCACTCCAACAAACGAATTTTGGTTTGAAAAATTAATTTCTTTCCTTCTTGCTCTCAGGGACCCCAAGATCATTCTCCTAGTCCCCTGGATGTTCTTCAGGGGAAGGTAAAAATCTCATAAGTAAAGACCAGCAGATGGCATAGCGGTTAGGTCACTGGACTCCCATGTAGTAAACTACAGTTTGAGTCCCAGACCTGGTGGCTTAAAACTCATGCCAGGTGTGCATGTGTGCCCAAAAACTTGAGAGAAGAAATGGAAGAGAAGGGATTATGGCATGGCCATCTCCGCTGAGGGGGTGATTTCTCACTTTCTGTCTCTCCAGCAAGTGCATGGACCTTATAGCAAAAATCTCTGCAAAAAAACCCAAAAAACAAAAAACAACCCACCTCACAAGGAATAGCCATGAATTCTGATAAAAGAAGTCTCAGGGTGCCCAGAGGGAAGAGCTAAACTTGAAGTTACAGATTTACTAACTTGCACAAGCCACTGGATTATGGGAAAGGTGCCCTGCCTAAGTTTCACTCTACTGGGAAAGGGAGATAAGGTAACACCTGCACCATGTTGACCAAACGCAGGGATGCACGTTACTATGTTACTGATCCAAGGGGGCTGAAGCCTAGGAGATGGTAAGGTATAGCCCAGTGAGGAAGAGGCCCAAGGATAAGGATCATTCTGCTACAGAATGCTGAACATCTTAATTAATTTAAAGCATAGGTATTTATGTATGGTTCAATATAAAATTTCATATTAAAATATACTCATTTGCAAGTGCTTAGTAGCAATGTTTTATATCTATACAAACCTGATAAATTGCTTCTGTTAACGTAAAAAAAAAGATTAAAATTTGTATTTATTTAGTGACAGTAATCTGATAACGATATGAAGACTGAATTTACCTCCTCTTACAAATCCATTAGTAGCTATTGCTGAAGTAGACAATCCTGTGATGGTTGTTACAACGGTGGCCATCATTATTACAAGGACTGACAGACCTATAGAAAGAAAGTAATTGAGAATGTTTTATTCTTATTCAAGCCTGCCATTATCTAGAACTGGATGGTCCAAATAAACTGATTTTACATTGTAATAAACTATCAATTTTGATCCTATTTGAGAAAAAGCAAATCAGTACTGTGAAAAAACATTAAGATAACAAATTTTTTAATTTACATTTTATCACTGTATCTTTTCAGTGCACAAGATGGTTTTTCTCATATAAATATAGTGCAATTAGTCAAGTCAAAGATATTACCATATACATATTACCGTATACATTATCGTCAACAGGTAACTTTTCATTTTTGTATCTGTTAAGTGCTTTTTCCCCCATCCTCTCCCTGCCATCTTCTATTACCCACTCCTATCCCATTACTATCTCCAGTATCTACAATTGGCCCTTCCTGCTATCTTACTTCCAGTCTTTCAGTTTCTGCTATGGAGTGCAGACATTTGGCATATATTAACCAGGGATACAATGCCTGTCTGTCATAGTCTGGCCTGCTTCTCTTAGCATTGTGCCTTTTCCCCCATCCTCTCCCTGCCATCTTCTATTACCCACTCCTATCCCATTACTATCTCCAGTATCTACAATTGGCCCTTCCTGCTATCTTACTTCCAGTCTTTCAGTTTCTGCTATGGAGTGCAGACATTTGGCATATATTAACCAGGGATACAATGCCTGTCTGTCATAGTCTGGCCTGCTTCTCTTAGCATTAAATCTTCCATATTCATCCCCTTTGCATCATATCTCAAGGACTCACTGTTGTTTATGACGGAGTAGTATTCCGTACTGTAAATGTGCAACACTTTTACAATCCACTCCTCTGTTCTTTTTTTTTTTTTAAGAATTACTCATGTAATTTATTTATCATTATTGTTCTTCAGTTTTACCAGAGAAAGACAGAGAGAGGCAAAAGAGTGAGAAAGCAAGCCACCAGGTCCAGGATTCGAACCACAGTTAGCCATGTGGGAGTCCAGCGCCTTAACCACCATGCCACTTGCTGGCCCCCACTCATCTGTTCTTAAACATCTGGGTTGATTCCATGTCTCAGCAATTGTGAATAATGCTGCAATAAGCATGGATGTGCAAGTGTTTTTCCAGCTGAGTGTTTTCCTATGCTTTGGGTAAATACCCAGAAGCAGATTTACCCAAATCATATATGGTAGTTCAATTTGCAGGATTATGAGGAACTTCAATACTCTTCTCCACAGTAGCAGTACTAATTTACATCCCACCAACAGTATAGAAGGATTCACTCTTTCACCACAGTCTTGCCAACACTAATCATTCTTTGTTTTAATCTTAGCCATTCTGACTGGCGTTCAAGTGGTATTATTTAATTTTGGTTTTGATTTGCATTTGCCTTATGGTAAGAAATGTTGAACATTCTTCCATATTTTTTTTTTGGCTGTTTGTATGTGTTCCTTAGAGATCTACCTGTTCACCTCATTTGCTCATCTTTTAATCATATTGATTATTTTTTTGTGGGTAAACTGCTTGAGTTCTTTTATATTCTAGTTAGCAGTTCCATATCTGAGGCATAGTTTGCAAATATATCCTCCCATTCTGAGAGGTGTCTCTTCATGCTAATTATTGTTTCTTTTGCTGTACAAAAGCTTTTTAGTTTGATGCAGTCCCAGTTGTCTATTTTCAAGATTATTGCCTATGCTTTGGGTATCTTATTTAAGAAGTTTTTGCCTATTCCGACTGTCTCCAAGAGTTTCCCCTGTGCTTTTCACCAATAGTTTTATAGCTTACATTTAGATTCTTGATCCATTTTGAGTTGATTTTTGCTAATGGTGAAAGATGACGTCCAGTTTCCTTTTACTGCAGGTAGAAATCCATTTTTTTCAGCACCAATGGCTAAAGAGATTTTACTTTTCCTCACTTCATTATCTTAATGACTTTATCAAAAAAACAAAAAACAAACAAAAAAAAAAAAACAGTTGGCTGTATCTTTTGGCATTTATTCCTGTGGTCTCTATTCTGTTCTATTGGTCTATATGCTAGTTTTTGTACCAATACCATGCTGTTTTGATTATCACAGCTTTTTATTTTTGAGGTCTTACTTTATTCTTTTTCCATAGCATTGCTTTGGCTATATGGGGCCTTTTATGATTCCAGAAAAATTTTAGGTCTTTTTTCTGCCTATTTCTGTGAAAAATAGCTTTGGCAATCTGATTAGAACTGCACTGAATTCATAAATTAATTTGGGTAGGATTGGCAGTTTGATTACATTAATTCTCCCAATCCAGGAACATGAGATGTTTTTCCACTTTTGTCTCTTTCATGCCATTATTTTCAATTTTCATAGTTTTCCTTGTCAAGGTCTTTTACTTCTTTGATTAAGTTTACTCCTAGTTTCTTCTGTTTGTTTTGGTTAAGTTTACTCCTAGTTTCTTCTGTTTGTTTTTTAGTGGCTACTGTAAATGGGATTGCTTTCTTCAATTTTGTGTGTTCAATGTTGATGTATTAAGATGCTATAGACTGTGTATCCTGTCACTTTACTGTATTCATTTATAACTTCCTGTAGTTTTTTTTTAATGGATTCTGTTGGATTATCTATTTTTGGGGTTCTAGGAAAAGTCACAATGCATTTTGCATAGAAAAAAACATGTCATGACTTTTCTGAAGACCCAATATATCTATATATGTATGTAAATCATGTCATATCTAAATAGAGATAATTTCACTTCTTCTTTTCGTATCTGAATTCATTTTATTCTCTGTCTACTGCATTGACTAGGACTTCTAGTACTATGCTGAAAGGAGTGGAGAAAGTGGACAGCTTTGTCTTGTTCCAGTTTTTATTACTCATTCAGTATGATGTTAGGTATGGGTTTGTTAAGTATGGCTTTTGCGGTGTTGAGGAATGTTTCTTCCATGCTAATTTTTCTGAGAGTCTCTTAATCATGAAGAAATGTTGTATTTTATCAAATGCTTTTTCTGTATTGATTGATATGATCAATATGGTAAAAAAAAAAAATTGATATAAAGGAAAACAGTTCAAATGGCTCCAATTGCTTAAGTTTTAGGAGACTGAGCTCATCTCAGTATTTTGCATATTCATTATTCTCAAGTTAAACAGTGCGTAACTTTACTTACCTATTCCAGCCTGCCCCACAATCCATGACAATCTAATGAAGAGCATCACACCCCAAATGTTTAACATACAACGTACCTAGGAGGAAAAGAGAAGTCAGTCACAGATAAAGTAATCAAATATAATACAGTAACGTTAAGCCAACCTACAGTAGATAATAATACACATTTGAAATTATAGATGATATAAGGCTTTGAAATCTAACTCCTACCCACCATTTTCTTGAACATTTTAAAAAGAGTTTAAATGAGAACTTACATTTCAGCTCATATAAATATAATGTACTGTGTGTGTCTGTATAAATATGTATTGCTGAAATTATTTGAGGGAATAGAAGCAACAGAACAAGAATAGTCACAAAATATTTTTTAAGACTTCAGTCCTTTAAAAAAGTAGCTCATGTTCACCTTTATGGAAGTTTAATTTTTGCTTTTTTTTTCCAATAATTATTTCAGTTAACTTTATTTTATTTATTTATTTATTTATTTTAATTAGATCAGAGAGGGACAGAGTATGTGTAGGGGAGAGACTAGAAGGCAAGCTGCCAGGTCCGGAACTCAAACTGCAGTTAGCCATGTGGGAGTCCAGTGCCCTTAATCATCATGCCACCTGCCAGCACCAAATTTTTACTTATTTTTTAAAAACATACCCATTTTACATGATTTCTCCAGCACATTTAAGGATTACATAATATTTATCAACATAAAATGCTAATTGCTCACACATTTTTTTAAAATTTAAATCATCTGGGGCCCAGCAGGTGACATGGTGGTTAAGGTGCTGGATACTCCCGCAGGGCCGACCACAGTTTGAGTACTGGCCCTGGTGGCCTGCTTTGTCACTCTCCTTTGTCTCTCACCTTGTGTCTCCCTCTGGCCAAATTAAAATAAATGAATGAGTAAATAAAAGTTAAATTAAAAGTATATATTTTTAATCATCTGTGAAACAGTTTCCTCAATTTATTTCCACTTTTATTTATTACACTTACATACAGAACATAGTTGTTACAGTGTGTGTATCATGGCTTGTCCCCCCTCCACCCAAAGTTTTATGCTTTGGAATGTGATGTTGGGAGGTGGTATTGTCTAGTGGGCAGTGATAGGTTCTTAGTGATTGCATCATGGAGACAATATGCTTATTAATAGATTAATGGTGTCTCGCAAGACCCAGTGAGTTTTAGATCTCATGAGAAGAGGTTGGTTCTCATGAGAGATGCTTGCTATGAAAGAGAGAACAATCTGCTGGTTCTCTGCATTTGTCCACCATCTTTTGTGTTTCTGTCATCCATGATGTAAGCCCTAGGTCTTCGGACGTTCCAGCTACCAGAATCATGAGTTTGTAAATAAACCTCTACCTTTATAAAATAATCTAGGCCTGGGCATTTCTGTTAGCAACGCAATAACAGACTAAGACATCAGTCTTCTAAAATACTAAAATCTAAGAATAGACAAACAATATCCCTTAGAACTTCACATATACTACACTGATTAGTCAGTATAAGTAATGCCAGACCTGGACATTTTCCTTTAAGTCTTCCCTAAATTCTAATATAACTCCTGTTAAGTGCTTCCAAAGTCCCGTGAAAAGTCAATCTAGCAGGTCTACTTTAATCAGATCCTTAGTGCCTATACAAATGCAGAAAAACAGAAGGAAAGCAAATTTTAATTACCTAAACCTGTTTATAGAACAGGTAACCTGTTTACTGAAGCAATGAAAGAAAAAGATTTCTCCTTTGTTCTGTTGCCTATTAAACATTATGTATACATTTCTCTTCAAAAGATAATGGGAGTATTAAGCAAGGAAGCAGGCACATTTTAGCTCTACTCCCTGTTCAACTTTCTTGATTCTGATGGTCCTACTGTTAAACTTAATTTGTGTAAAGTGACAATACTCAGACAACTCCCTGTTCAATTTTCTTGATTCTGATGGTCCTACCATCATACTTAATTTGTGTAAAGTGACAATACTCAGATTCACAAGAGGAAATAAAATATAATTTATAGGTCATCCAGGATAACTTGGTTAAGTTAATAAATATATTCTATATCTCCTCTATTGAATTTAATATCCAAAAGGAAAGGAGGCATAACTTATCTATTTGGTCTTCTGTAAAATTCAGGTAAGAGTTAAAAGACAGTTCAAACAGGAAGGAAAAACAAAAAGTTTCTATTAGAATATTTGATTTTTATAATCAACAGAAATGCTGTAACTCTAAAATTAGGTCTATGTATACATACCAGTACACCCTTGATCCAGCCAAACTTCACAACTCCTTTACTTTCTGCAGTGTATGTGACCACAGCATCTCTGGTTGGAGTACTTTCTTCCCCATTTGCAAGGCCATCCTCAAAAGGTTCCTGGTTATAAAAAGAAAAGTGAATTATGCTTAAGAATTATTTAAAATTTAAGCACACCTGATAAAAACAAACATAACACTGGGCCATCTTTAGGACATGATACGGATTTCCAAGAATCAACGGTTTCCAAATAGTTTAGCTGAGAAAAAATTGTAAAGCAATAAAGAGGAAGCCTTAATTACCGAGATTTCTTAGAATTTAATCTCACCCTACAGTAAATCCATTTTAGTAACTTCACATTTTAATTACACTTTGGCAGTATCTAGAGAGCACAACAAATACAGTTTGCTGTTCAGACCCCGTCTTTCCAACCGCAAATTCCTATCACCTAGTTGCTGCCCTTTGCACATATGAAATTTCTACATTAACTACTTAAAACTTCTCATCTTCAGGAATGAAGTTTCCCTTTTATAGTCTATGACAGCAGGATTCCCACAGATCCCAGGATACATTTATAAGCCTTCCCTTCACTGGTTCCTTATCTGCATGTAATTAGTCCTGTTCATGCTTTCTTTGCTAACTTTTCTCAGATTTATACATAAACTGGTTTATACTACCCATTTTCAGGACTAGTGCTTCCTTCCTAGGCTTTTAAGTTCCATTTTGGATTCTGTAATTGGTAACTTTTATTCTCAATCTTCTGTCTCAGTGGTACTTCATTTTTTTTTTTTTTGTCCCAAAATACTCAAAGCGTACAACACATTTCCAAACCAGTAAGAGCCTTAAACAGGTCATAAAGAAGGGTGGGAAATGGTTTGGGAGATAGATAACGTCTCAGGAATTAGAATCATGCCTCCTAACAATACTCCATGGTTCTTCCTCTCTCTATATCTCAAGAGCAGAGAACAATAACAGCTGTATCTGGGCCAGCAGGTGGCATGGTGGTCAGGGTGCTGGACTCCCACGTGACTGACCTCAGCTCAAGCCCTAGACCTAGCTATTTGAAACACCCTGGATGTATGTGTGCTTCCCCCAAATCCTGAAAGGAGAGGCCATCAGGTGACATAGTGGTTAAGGTGATGGATTCCCACATGGATGACTGTGGTTCAAGTCCCAGATCTGGTGGCTTGAAAATCACATCAGGCACATGTGTGTGCATGCCCAAAATCCTGAGAGAAGAATAGAGGAGAAGGGATTGTGGCATGGTCATCCCCCGTGGGGGGTGATTTCTCATTCTCTCTCTTTCTGTCTCTGTCTCTGGCAAGGGCACACTCCCTATGGCAAAAAATCTTAAAAAAAAAAAAAATTGTATTTTTTTAAAGTACTTTATTTAACTTAATTTATTTATTTGTTTTAATTTGATCAGAAAAGGACAGAGCAAGCAAGAGAGGGAGAAAGTGAGAAGGTAAGTCACCAGATCTAGGACTTGAACCAGTTTGGCCATGTGGGAGTCCAGTACCTTAACCACCATACCACCTGCTGACCCCAAAACAGCTGCGCTTCAAACATTGCTTCTTTATATACACAAGAGCCAACTAAATTAAATTTTTTAACTGTTTTCAGTGCTTTGTATCCTTTATTGAATTCTAATAAAAAATTATACAATCAAGCTGTGTTAATAGAGCAAAATCTAAATAATGATCCAAACCAACATGTTAGCCAAGTACAGTCAGTCAATTCCATGTAATACAATATTGCTATATGCTTTTTAAGTACTATAAACCTGGCAGTTAGATAAAAGCTCTCAGATTTCATATCTATAGAGCTTTACTACTGCTAATTCTTTGATTTTGAAGCAAAAAGAAAAAAAAAAAGTTTAAACATATCTTTTTTTTATATATAACTTTTAAATGTATTTGCCATATGGTGTGTATGCTTGCATGAGAAATCACCCATCAGTGGGGATGGCCATACCACAATCCTTTCTTGTACGTTCTCCTCTCAGGATTTTTGGGGACACACACACAAACGACATTTTTTAAGTTGTCAGGTTCAGGACTTGAAACACAGTAGGTCATGTGGGATCCAGGTGCCTTAACCTCCATGCCATCTGCTGCCCCTAAGTTTATCTTTTAAAATTATCTTACTTAGGCTTTTTAAGGATAAAGAGAAAAATAATCAAATTTTAAATTATCTGCCATATTTTTGGTTAACAGAGCCATAGCCTCAGCTATGTGAAGTACATGGAAAATGAGTCATTCTAAGCTCATGAAGAATTTAAATATGAACTTTAATGTTGAGAATTTCTGGTAACAGTTTGCAGATTTTAAAAAACAGATCCTAAGAAACAGACATTATAATAATTTCAACAGTTTCATAACTTATCTACCAGTAATTATGATACTAGAAGAGGGATGCCTCAAGCTTATGAAGTATTAAACAACCCTAATCTGTTATACTTCAACAGCTTTGAGATATAATTCAAATAATACACAATTTTCCCATTCAAAGTACATAATAATTTTTAGTATATCCACAAAGCTGTACAATTACCACCACAATTTCAGACATTTTTATCACCCCTAAAGAAACTGTACCCATTAGTTACTCCCCAAGTCCCTCCTACTCAGCCCCTGGCAACCACCAGCTAGCTTTTACATCTCTATAGATTTGCCTATTCTGACATTTCATGTAAAAGGAATAATGGAACACATGGGCTTTGTGAGTGATTTTGAAATGATTTAAAGGCTCATTCATGTTGTAGAATGTAATTGCCAAATACTGGGTCCTCAGAAAAGTCATGACGTATTTTTCTGACTTTTTTTCCCTATGCAAAAAATGTGTCATGACTTTTCCAACAACCCAATAAAATTCCACTGCATGGCTATATCACATTTTCTCTTTTCATCAGTTGGAGATTTAGGCCGATTTCACCTCTTCATTACAAATAATGTTGCTATGAACACTTATATATAGGTTCTTGTGTGGACACATGTTTTCATTTATCTTGGGTATATACCAAGAGTGGAACTGCTGGATCACAATTTACTATTTAATGGACTACTTTGGGTCATTTTTCTCATCTCTTCGTATGAGACTACAGACCGTCACTCCTCATTTCAATGAATATGCCTGCCTAGCATCATCCCTTCCCATGCTTAGAATCTAGTATAAACATGAAAACAAATAACCAATTTGTATATACAAATATGCAAAGTAGTAAAGAAACCACAATTATGACCACAGAACTATGTAGGTCAATCACAAGAGCAATTCACTTTGGTTTTACTTCAACTACTCAATGTTTCCTGACAGTGAAGTTAAGGATAATCTCAAATAATAAAAAAAATATTCCCAATAGGGATTGGTCACTCAGCCAGTCAATTATTCACATAAGGACAGGACAAAAACTTCCAAGTAAACAGAAGTTCCTTAGTTATTACTCTAGGATACATAGTGTTCTACAGTTATTTTATGAAAGACTTTAAAATATTACATAGCTTCCCAGTCTTTTTTTTTTTTTTTGAGAGGATTTTTGTTATAGGGCATGTGTGCTTGCCAGAGAGACAGAGACAGAAAGTAAGAAATCACCCCCCAGGGGGATGGCCACACTGCATTCCCTTCTCCTCCATTCTCCTCTTGGGATCTTGGGCATGCACACACACGTGCCCAGTGTGAGTTTAAACCACCGGGTCTGGGTCTCGAACCGTGGTCAACTACACAGGAGTCCAGTAACAACCATTATGCCAACTGCTGGTCCCCATAGCTTCCAAGTCTTACAAGAAAATATAATATGTATAACATGCACAAAAAACATCTTTCTTCCCAACTCTATTAAAATAAAACTAAAAATGTATGTACTTAACAAGCTACACTTTTTCCAAGACTAAAGTACTGATGTGGGTGTCTTTTTAGCAGTGCAAAAGTATGCAGGCATGCTGTGGGTGTTTATCAGAATTCCACCTAAAAGTTAAAGATAATTATATGCTAGTTTCCAGCACACTACAACTATGTTCAAAAAACAAAAGAAAATTTTCCAGAGAGAAGTTAGCAGTATTTTAAAATAGGATGAGTCCACACAAAATTTAAAAATGTTTCTAACCTCATCTTTTGCTGGCAGCTGTTGTTACTTATTTTATTTTTATTCATGAGAAAGCATGCACATGAGAGAAAAATGGGAACAACACCTTATTAAAAGAGAGGCAGAGAGGCCTCTTCAACAGTCTCACCGAGCCACAATTCCTCCTCACCAACCCTTCAGCTGTCGGGATACTGGATGTGTAAGCGTCTGACATAGTATCAGGTCCACTCAGGATCTGAACCCACAATTGGGCATGTGGCTTCCAGCCTTGCAATTCAATATGCCACTATCTGCACCACTAAGGTGGGGCATGGCAGTCTATTTTAGAAGTTATTCTAAATTCGTTATTCATCTCAATATAATTCTAAAGTTAATGTATTGCTCAGGAGAAGCTGGATCCCACATGGCAACCAGTCTAATCCCCAGCCACATCAACACGAGTGCCCAAGATCTAATGGGCCAGAGGGCTGGAGGAAGGGGATTGTGACATGACCAGACCCTGTGCAGGGTATCCCCTCTTCAGGTATGCACACACATACCTTACCATGGATAAAAACTTTTTTTAAAAGTTGAAAATCAAATAAATAATACTTTTTGCTCAATTAAAAGACAAACATAATAAAATTAGGTTCAAAATTTTATTAATTTCCTGAAATATCAAGAAACCAAAGTGGAATATACAACTTTTATTTTTGTAAATACATTAGTTTCAGAGAAATAACACAACCATCCAAAGCAGCATTCTGTCCACACAAAAGATGAAATAGCTCAAAAGCCTAGTAAAGAAAATTTCAAATACATAATTATGAACTATAAACTTTGCTAATCTAAAGCTAGATTAAAAAAATATGTATATCTACTATTTTCACAAAAATGGCGAGTTTGAATTTTTTTACTATGTTTTCTATACTAATGAATAAAAAGTAAAACACACATGCACACACAAATGTTTGGTGGATGCCACATGAAATTCAGTAGACCAAATTAATTTAGACTTGACCAAGAAATAGTTTTTTGCAAAATAGAATTGTGCTTCTGA